AAAAAAAAAAAAAAAAAATTTTAGAAATGTATTAAATTGTCTCATCAGGCAGAAAGCTTTCTGGATAGTATACATAATAACCACAATATACAGTAATAAAAATATCAATATAACTTAATATTATGCAATGCATAGCCATTCTTTTGTAAGTGATCAAAGACATGATGCCTGAGCGTGGGCTAGAAATCACACCCTACCAAGTCCTTCAATGTTCTTTAAAAGTGATATCCTTTAGGTACTTAAAGTATTTATTAAGTGTTATGAATGTGTCAGACACTGCACAATGTCTAATAAAATTGCTTTTAAAACTTATGGAACCAAACCCCATTTTTACAGAAAGAAATTTTAAAGAATGCAATTGTTCTAACAAAGCCTATTTTAAAATACCAGGGGCTCACACAGGCTCTAGGCAATAATTATTAACTGCTGCCAGCAGCAAGAAAGCCAGACCTTCCATGCTTCCTAGTGCCTAACACTAATACTTAAGTACTTCTGCCAAAGTCCTACCAGAAACGAAAGCCTCCAGACATGTCAAGGTCTAGATTGAACTTCCAATTTAAGGCACTACAGGAGTCTATAAAACCAACAGACAAAATCAGCAAAATTCCGAATGGGAGACACTCATAGGGAAAAAACTTGAAGAAGTATACTTAAACACTTAAACACTTAAGTATAAACTTAACCACTTATGGCACATTAGTGAAATACAATATGCAGGCTTTGAATGGATTCTAATTAAAGCAAAATAAATGCAATATAAGCAAAAATTTGCAAGACTGGAAAAGTTCGAGCACTGACTAGGTATTTCTCAATATTAAACAATTATCCGCTTTTTTGCTTCAATGATGACGTTACAGTCGTTTTATTTTTTATTTTTATTTATTTATTTATTTTTCTTTTCAAAGTTTTATTGATAAACATATAGCAATGAGACAGTTTCAAATCAAATTGAAAGTATAGTTTCAACAAATAATACACTGCATATATTCTTCTTAGTGGTTAATTGCTGTACAATGTTTTATTTTTAATTCTTGTCTTTCAGAGATATTGAAAGAATTCAGAGGACTGGGTTGGGGAGGTTCAGGAATAAAATGAAACAGGTCTTGCTATGGGATGACAGGCTGCAGCTGGATGATGAGTACATGGGGGATCACATTATGGTACTTTACTTTGAAAGAAGCCTGAAATTTTCCGACATAAAAAGTTAAAGAAAAAAAAATCAGACAAATAATACTGCAGTTTTCATTTAAAAAATTTTTTTTTTTTCTCCTTTGTGGTACCAGGGATTGAACTCAAGTACTTATTCTACTGAGCTATCTCCCCAGCCCTAAAAAAACCTTCTAAAAGTGGTTTATTTTTAAACTATTTTTGCTGTGCATGGTGTTGCACACCTGTAATCCCAGCACTCAGGAGGCTGAGATGGGAGGACTGCTCCAAGTCCCAAGACCAGCCTGGGCTACAAAGTGAACTCATGGCCAGCCTGAACTGCACTCACTGCGAGACCCTGTCTCAAAAAAGATATTTTAAAAAAAAAAAGTTATTTTTTACATTTCAATCTAAAGAATCATCGATAAACTTAACAGATGAAAAGCTTATCATTTCAGTTAAAATTTTCAATCCTCCATGACACTTGGATCTCTCTCTACCCATTCATCTACATTAATTCTCTATGGGCTTTGGACAGTCGTGGTGTTTATTGTTTGGTTTTTTATGATACCTGAATTTGAACTCAGGAACTTGCACGTGCCAGCAGGTGCTTATGCCACCGAGCTATCTTCTGGCCCAGTCTCTATGGCCTTTGGACACTTGCTTTCTCTGTAATGGTAGCCTAACAGATAAACTACTCTAGGTGTTGGCAAACTTCAGGGCCACAGCTTGTGTCTACAAAGACTTGAACTAGCATTTTTCCCCCCATGTTTAAAGAGTTATAAAACAACACAAAAAGGAATAAGAAACAGAGATCATATAAGGTCTACAAAGCCTAAAATATTTAGGATCCAATTATTCATGGTTAAGTCTCACAGGTACCTACTAAGCCCACTAGCGTACACAGAGGACATTTAATTCACAATCATGATTCTTGACAGAAACCCAACATCCTGAACTGAAAGCAATTTATATTTGAAGGACCTAAAATGTCTTGAGAATGCTAAAGATTAATGTAAAAACTGTATGTTTCCTTTTAAATAACACTACAAATTTTTATATTGGAGCTTACATACACTGTGTACAATTTTGTTTTGTTTTGCCTTTTTGAGGCAGGATCTCAATATTCAGATAAGGTTGGCCTTGAACTCACTTTGTAGCCCAGACTAGCCCTGAACTCCCAGGAATCCTCTTGCCTCAGGTTCCTGAGGTGGGACTGTTGTAGGCAGCTAAGTAAATATTAGAGGCAGTCAGACAGGAAGGACTAAACCCTCAAAGGAGCTAGAGCATCAGATGAGATACCTTGCAACTGTGAGGCAGACAGGAACCTCCTCTGAAGGTCAACCCCGAGACAGAAAGTAAAACAAATGCACTCAGATACTTCCTAAGGATAAACATCAGGGATTGATATCCTAAGTAAGCATGTCTCACCTTTAAAAAGCCAGAAAGTCACTAACCCAACACCCTACAGGAAAAGTTCCTGTTACGTATTCATGTCCAATGACTTGTTTCCCTACTTGATCTTGATTTAATCCATTTTACCCGAGCACTTATACCCATAATCCTACTGGCTGATCATACTTTTGTCCCACCTCATGTAGGTCTTGTGTTTTCCCATTCTGCCCACCTTGGGGACCTGCCTTCATGCTGTGATTTGTTTTATAAAAAAAGTCTCAGGGGCCGGGGAGATGGCTCAGTGGAATAAGCGCTTCCCTGGCAAGTGCAAGGGTCTGAGTTCAATCCCTGGTTCCGGGGGGGGGGGGTCTCAAGAAAAGGCAGGTTCCTTAGCAACTCACTTGGGTCCCTTTCTGTCTCTCAGCCAGAAGCTTTCTTTCCTCAAATAAATATATTCTGCTCTTAACCTCCATTGTTCCCAAGCATGTTCCCTAAAATCAAAGAACACAAACCCCTAAAGGTTAGGAGTATCCTCCCCTCCCCTCCCTTCCTTTCTCCTTTCTCACTATACAGTTTAGGTTGGCCTTGAGCTCGCTTCAAAGTCCAGACTGGTCTCAAACTTGCAATGATCCTCCTGCCTCAGCTTCCCAAGTGCTGGGATCACAGGTGCGTGCCACCAAAACTGATCCAAGTTGTATGCATTTTTAAAGAACATTTAAGGTCTGATCTGTATTCAAGTTCAAAACTAAACAAGAAAAGCACTCAGAAAAGATTAACAATAAATTCTGCTACAAATTTTCTTTTTTCTTTTTCTTTTTTGCAGAACCAGGGATTGAACTCAGGCCTTTGTGCTTGCCAGGGAAGTACTTACTCCACTGAGCCATCTCCATGGCCCTGCTACAAATTTTCTTTATCAGTACCTAAAAAACAGATCCTATTAAAAAGCACTGTTAGCTGAGCATGGTGGTGCACATCTGTAAGCCCAGCCCTCAAAGAGGCTGAGGCAGGAGGACTGCCATTAGTTTGAGGCCAGCCTGGGCTATATAATACATTCAAGGCCAGCCTGAACTACATGGTGCGATCCTGTCCTCCAAACAACAAAACTACTGTTGATGAGCCTCTGCCTTGGAAGCAAGCAGTTCAAAACTTAAATCATACAAGCAGGTAATAAAATTTTAGAACTGGAAAATTTCTGTAACCAAATCTCTGTGGTTTACGGACACAGAAAGGAGATGAGATTTTCAAATGTCTAAACAGTATATAAAAGGCCTAGAAAATCTAACCCTAAGTATGGAGCATTCCTAATACACACAGGGAGACTACTTTTTTGGTGATACTCAGTTTTATTTTAAGCCTGGTGCCTGAGGAAGAAGATTGCACAACACTCTTCAGTTGTGAACCAATGGGAGATCCTAATTTCTGTCTCCATAGTCACAAGAACTGACCTTGACCTCTCTCCACAGAATTATGGCTAATCAACAAATCCCATGGGACCCAAACTATGTTCCCATCTATGACTAAGGTTAAAATACAGTCTCCTTCTCCCAATGGGCCTTTTCTCCCTGTGAAGTCTGGTGACAACCATGTGTATCTGTTCTGAGTATGGAGTACGACTGCTGCTACTAACAGAACAGAAAATAAGATATCTAACAAGTAGGTAAAAGCCAGACATCTTTTGAAAACAGATTGAATGCTATTTACCATTTTAAAATGGTTACTTTATTCACTGGTTTTCTGTTTTTAGCTTGTTTTTGAATTCACTATGCAGCTCAGGCTGACCTTGAACTCCACAAAGACCCTCCTGTCTCAGCCTCCTGAGTGCTAGAATTATATGTATGCACCACCCAGCAGGCCCAGCTATTCCCTGTTATATTCAACCTTATGTCTTTTAGATTCACCATGACTGTTGACCTGTCTGGTTCTAACTTTCCCAAGTACCTAACTATTGTACTGGGACTCTATTTGTGCAGCTGTGTTTCTATTTCTACAGACAATGCATGAGGAAGTCTCATGATTTAAAATGTTGATGCCCTGTACCTCAATTAAGTCTTACTTTAAGAACTGCACAAATGTGGGGCTGGGGAGATAGCTCAGGGGTCTTTGTGCCTGCCTGGCAAGCACAAGGTCCAAAGTTCAATCTCTGGTATAAAAAAAAAAAAGAAAAAGAAAAAAAGCTTTCATAAGTGGGGTAAGTTTTCCCATTACATTTCCAATTAATGTAGCTATAAAAATCAGAAAATATCCATACCGCCTGCCTCGCAGAGTTGCTGCGAGAGTGCAGGAATTACATGTTATACCAATGTAGACATTATCCTGAAAGAGAATGATAACAATTTCTATTTCAATGAAGTCATTTTCTATATGAAGGCATTATGAGTATCTTTTTTTTTTGTGGTACCGGGGTTTGAACTCAGGACCTTGTGCTTGCCAGGCAAGCACTTATTCCACTGAGTTATCTTCCCGGCCCTTATAATGGCATTATGATAAAAAAATTTTTTTAAAAATTATCTTTTATGTAAAACTAATTTAGAAGGTAAACTTATGTTAAAAATGAGATAAAAGAAAAAAAGAAAAACCAGCACTATATGATTCCAGTTATATAAGGACCTCAGACATAGAATGTACAATGGTGGTTACTCAGGGAGAAGGGGAGGGAGCACGGTGAATGACTGTTGAATACGTAGAGAATTTGAGTTTGGGATGAAAGGATTTCTGGAGATGGAAAGTGGTGATGGTTACACAGCACTGTGAATGTAATTAATAGCAGTCAACTGTGCACTCAAGAGATTAAAATGGAAATTTAATGCTATGTACATTTTACTACAATAAGAAAGATTATTACCTTGAAGTTCTCCAATCATCTCAGAATCATGACCTCTGTCTCTCCGTTCAGCTTCCAACACAGCTTGAAGCTGGTAGTAATCCTTGTCTGTTTGTGACTTGGAATTTTCTAAAATTCTGTTTCTCTCTTGCAGTTCTCTGTTCAAGGACTCTAGCTGACTGACTGATTTGCTCATTTCTGTATGACTCTTCCTTAATCTTACAGCTGTATCCGATTCTGTCCTAAGCAAGTCATTGGCTTCTTCCAGCTATTAAAAGAAAGAAAATAGAATCTTAACAGAATTATATCAAACTTATTTTACCATTTCTTAAAAGGCACCTCATTTGACAAACTTACCTGCTTTTGTAATTGGGCCAGCTTCTCATTAGCAAGCTGTGAATTCTGACTAACTTTCTTTAAGTCTTCCAATTGGTCCTTCAATGTAGACACTAGAAAATGGAAGAATTTTTATTAGAGGAACTATAACATCTCTTTTTAAAAAATGACATTCATTTTTGGACTGTAATGGCTAAATTCTCAAATCAAATTCCATCTGAAAAGTACATTTAAAATTCATCAAAAACAGAGTAACATTCCATAATACAGAATGCAAAAAGGGATTTGTTTCCACTGTTAAAATACCTCAAATTCTTTCACTGACTTAATAAGATCCATCTATTAGTGTAATGCTAGAGAGTTATTTGTACTTGTTTTGAATGCTAAAGGGGATAGTTTAGTCTTTTAAAAATGGTACTAAAGAGTGGATGGACAGTCTCCATCCATACCATCTCCTAGTCTTCCTTCTTGTCTAGCTCTTCTTGCCAGCAAAACCTATTACTAGTTCTTGTATAACCTCCCCCAAATAGTCTATATACAGATATCCTAATGCTGAGCCAAATGTGTGTGTGTATTTTATATGTCTAAATACACATGCATATTTAGGAATATGTAGGTAAGCACCCTTGTTTTCGATACAAATGATCTGTAGTTTGTTTTTATAAAATACACATCTTGGAGATCTTTCCCAACAATATATAAGGAGATCCTCTAAAAAAAATAAAATCCTGCATAGTATTCTACCAGACATACAAAACACTATTCCAGCATAGGTTATGTTGTTTATACATTTAAAAATTATATAAGATTGTATGCACATAGGTAAGTATGTAACAATAAACTAGAAATAAAATCAATGGGTTAAACAATGCAGAAAAGACTGGCAAGATAGCTCAGGAGCCTAAGTGCCTGTGTAGGCATGCGCAAGGAGCAGGGTTCCACCCCCAGCACCAAACAGAGCACCAGCCCTGCCCTTCCAGGACCAGGTATGGTGGCACACCCCTGATCCTAGCATTAGGGAAGCTGAACACGGGAAGATCACTACAAGATTGAGCTGTACAGTGAGACCCTATACCAAATATATTTTTAAAAAGTATAGAAAACTATTGTTAAAATCTGGAACACTTTCTGAAACGTGAAATTTCAGGGCTTAGTGTAGGAGGGCTCCCCCTTGTGCAATGACAGCCCCCCATTCCTGCACTACAGCACAGGTCCTGTTCAAATAAAGCCTTGCTCTGGTGGGCTTGTTATAACTGTGCCAGTGATTTATTTCTTGAGTAATGTGTGTTCAAGTTTTGCAATTCTACTCAGGGTTCTTATTCTGAGTAATGTGTATTGGGGGGAATTCTGGCTTAGTGGTTTTCAGAAGTGAAAGCTGTTAGAAATGCTTAGGGAGTTTATGAAAAATACAGATGCCCAGCATGTGTCTATACTAACTACATTAGACTCTCTGTAGTTTAGGTGTCAGTATTTAAATCTTCCCCAAAGATTCAGTCTGTACATAATGATAATAGTTATTAGTCTACCTAAATATTACTTACTGACTTATTGTGTTAGAAATTTAAGGGCCAGCCAGATAGCTCAGTGGATTAAAGTGCCTGCTTCGGTAGATGCAGCGACTGGAGAGGGCATGCCGTGCCGGCCCTGGCCCTGGGGTGCACTGAGACAGTGCTCGAGACTGCGTGTGGTGGCACGTGCCTGTATTCCAGTGCTTGGGAGGCTGAAAACAGGAGAATCACTAGGAGTTCGTATCTGTGTAGTGAGACCCTGTAGATCCTGTACTAAATACATTAAAAAAAAAAAAAAAAAAAAATTTAACTGGACTTCTGAGTTATGTAGCTCATCAGATACCTGAAACACTGGGGCTCAGTAAATCTATCCTGGGCACCTAATTTAAGACAGCTCATGAGAAAGACCTAGAAGACACAAATTCTAGGGACTGAAGTTATAATTTACATGGGAGGGTATTTGCCTAGATAGTCCAATATGTTTCACATGTACCAATTTACCTTCATTTTCTACGTTTCTCCTCTTCTCATTTTCCTGTTCAACTTTTCTTTGGTATTCATTAATTCTATGTTGTAACAACATTTTTTCCTTCTCAATTTGAGATACTGTAGATTCTAGATTTCTTCTTTGATTTCCCTGAAATTATGAAAAAAGTTAACCACTGCGTTTAGTATTTCTTGTCTTTTGAGCACGTATTCTGTTCTTAACAAAAAAGTCAGACAGAAGCCTTGGATGGGTTTTGATTTTCAGGCCACACAGTATATCATCTAATGATCATTTTCTAGCATTATGTGGACACTGACGTTTAAGACAGGAAAACTGTCCTTATTTGAACTAAGAAGATAAAATTTTCCAAGACTTACAATACAATCTTTTAAATTCTATATTTTCATATTGAAAGCTACTATATTATTAGCTTAAGACAACCACAGTGTATTATAAATATTTGGGTTGGAATAGAATCTTCAATTTAATCAGAATTATAAAAGTTCAGGTAATAATTATACATAGTATTCTATTACCCATTCCCTTCCTCCCCCCAAAAAATTCCTATTTTTTAACGGAAAAAGATAAAATTTCCTAACAAGATGACAGAGGACAGTAAGTTAATATACTGCATATTATCATCTTTAAAGTACTCAGAGTACAAGACATGAACATAAAAAATTATCCAATCGATATCAGTGCAACCTTCCTTTTCTAAAAACTAAGAGACACTAAACATACATAACTTGCATTCCTCTCTCTTTTCCTTTCCTTACTTTTCCTTTTCCCTTTTTATTTTACAGTATCTACTATACATTTTAGACCTTACTTACTATTTCAATTTCTCACACCAGGGAGACAATAGTTTTTACACACGTGAGCCTGATTTATTTTACTAATGAGTATGTTCTCAAATTGCATTCATTTACCTACAAAAGTCTCAAGTTCATACTTCTTTATGGCTGTGTAGTATTCCATTGTCTAAAAATATCACTTCTTTTTTTAATTTGCTCCTTAGTTGATGTGCATTTGGTTTGTTTACAGGATTTAGCTATTATAAACTGTGCTGCTATAAACATGGGTACACATATCTTGCTGTGATGTTTTAATTCTTCTGGGGAGATATCCAGAAGGGGAACAGCTGAGTCATACTGGACATCCAATCTCAGCTTTTTAAGGAATCTGCATACTGATTTCCATACGTGGTTGCATCAGTCTGCACTGCCACCGACAGTGGAGAAGGATGCTTTCCTCCCCCCAACAACCTCTACAGCATTTGTTATTGGTTGACTGCTTTATGATAGCCATTCTTTCTGAAGTTTGATGGAATCTCAGTGTTGTTTTAATTTGCATCTCTCAAACAACGAAGGATGTTGAACCTTTTTTCATATGTTTATTTGCCATTTTTATTTCTTCATCTGAGAAGTGTGAATTCATCTCAGATGTCCATTTTTGGACTGGGTCTTTGAATTCGAGGGGTCTTTTTTTCAATTCTTTATATGTTCTAAATAGAAGTCTTTTGTCTGAGGGGCAATTGGCTAAAATTTTTCCAAATCTGTGGGTTTTATTTTCACACTCTGTTGATTTCTTTTGATGTTCAAAGGCTTTTTAATAAGATAAGGACCCAACTGTTGATTCTTTGAAGTATTTCCCAATAGAGTTCGTGAACAAAACCCAATGCAGTCTGGGTTTTGTTCATGAACTCTGTGCCTATACCTATGCCTTCAAGATTTCTACAAACTTTCTCTTCAAGTAATTTTTTGTTTCTGCCTCAATATTTAGATCTTTGATTCAGTTTGACTTTAGTGCATAGTGATAGACATGAGTCTAGTTTATAAAAAGCCAGTGTGGGGTTGGGGAAATAGCGTGGCAGTCTAAGCACCTGCCTGGCAAGCACAAGGACCTGGGATCAATTTCCAATACCAAATTCTGTGCCAGCCCCAGCTGAGCCAGCCACCAAAACGAGGCATGGTGGCATACACCTGTAATCCCAGTGCTGGGGAGGCTGAGATAGCTACGAGTCTGAGCTGCATAGCGAGACCCTGTACCAAATAAATAAATAAATTAATTAATAGCCAGTTTTTCCAGCACAATTTATTAAAGAGGCCATCTTTCATCCAGTGAACATTTGACCCCTTTGTCAGAGATAAGGTGGCTGAGTACTTTTGTAGCTGTGTCTGCATCTTATAATGTTTCACTGATCTTCAAGTCTGTTTTCTGCCAGTACAGCACCACGTTGATTTTATCATAGTAGCTCTGTAGTATAATTTCAAGTCAGGGATTGTGATGTTATCTGCTTTGCCTTTGTTTTTCAAAACTGCTTTTGCTATTCTAAGTCTCTTCTAGTTCCACATTAATTTTAAGAATGTTTTCTCTAAATCTGTGTGGGAAATTCTGAGTACTGTAATTTTTTTTTTGTAAAAATGGGAGAAGGTTGTTTTTTTTTTTTCTCTGAATGCCTTCAGGGCAGGTTTGGCTGGCTTGAGTTGTGGGGATCGAACCACAGCAACCGGAGCCTGACTGCTTTGTGGAAGCAGACACTTAAAGAACTGAGCTAAGGGGCAGGACCCCTGTAATTTTCAAAGTACAAATCTTTTACTTCTTTTGTTAAACTAATTCCTAAGTACTTAAATTTTTTGGATGCTACCATGTAGGTGTGATTTTCCTAATTTCTCAGTGATTCTATCGTTTGTGAATAGAAATAGTATTGATTTTTAAGGGCTGACTTTGTATCCAGCTATGCCACTGAATTTGGTTATTAAATCTAGAAGTCGTCTGGTAGAGGTTTGGGGGTCTTTTATGTCATCTGCAAATAATGATAATTTAACTTCTTCCTTTCCTATCTTTATTCCTCTTATTTTTCTCTCATCTAATTGCTCCAGCTAATGTTTCCAGAACTACACTGAATAGGAGTGGCAAGAGTGGACATCCTTGTCTTGTATCTGATTTTAGACTGACAGCTTTCAGGTTTTGTCCATTTAGAATGATGCTGGCTGTTGGCTTTTCATTGATGGCTTTTATCAGATTGAGGTAATGTCCTATTCTTAAAAAAATTCATATTTCACAAGTAATACAAAAATGAAATGGTACTATAGGGTTTAGAATCCACCAATCCCTCCATCTCATTCCTATTTCAAAAATGCTTTTCATTTCTACTTACGAACGTTTACTAAAAATGAATAAAGAAGGGCTGGGGATTTAGCTCAGCAGTGTAAGCGCCTGCCTGACAAGCACAAGGTCTTGAGTTCAATTCCCAGTATTACATACAAAAAAGTAACAATGGTAATACTTTTAGAAAAGTGCCTACAGTGGATTGAAGGGCTAACGTAAAAATGTCCAAATTTGTACAATTTCAAAAATTGCTTTTTAAGGAAGATGCTGTCAGATTTATAAATGTGACACAGATCAATAAGATCTTTCTGGGCCGGAGGGATGGCTCAATGGAATAAGCACTTCCCTGGCAAGTGCAACGGCCTGAGTTCAATCCTCGGTTCTGCACACAAAAAAAATCTTTTTAATTCTAAGACCTTATCATTTTATCTCTTTGAATTGTATCAACTGTGGACTAGTACTCAGTGGTACAGATATACTAAAGTATTTACTCACCTATTACAGGATCCTTTGGTTATTTTTAGTTTTATACTATTATAACTAATGCTGCCATGAATGGTAGTACACAATTTTTTTCTGAAGATGTAGGTTTTGATTTTTCTGAGAAAATGCCCAAGAGTATAACTGCTAGGTCACATCGGACCTATATGTTTAGCTTTTCAGGAGAAAAGCTATATGGTTTCCCAGGATGTCTGTACCATTTTACATCCTTAAATGCAATGTACAAGAAACCCAGTTTTTCCACATTCTGCCAGTTTTGGAACTGCTACAATTTCATATTTATTTATCAGCTACAGAGTGGATAGATCACATTGACAAATGGCTAGTGATATGTACATCTTTTCACATGTTTGTCATTCATAATACAGTGGCACCTCAGTTCACAAACTTGATTATTTCCACAGTTCTGGTCACAAACTGAGTTGGACAAGAATCAAATCAAATTCAATGGTTAGGTTCAATGTCGACCTTATGGAAAAATCTGACTTGGTTCTTGTCCAGTTTGCTTTATGACCAGAATCATGCAGAAAACTGAGTTTGTGAAAAGAGGTACCATTATATTTCTTTTTGTGAAATTTATTTTCCTATCTTTTACCAACTTATATACTGGATTATATATTGATAAGCTTTGAGAATTAAATATTCTAGATATAAACCCTTTATTAGATATACAATTTACAAATATTTTTCCCTGTTTGTAAGTTGTCATTTTTTTTTTCTCTTTTACTAGGGAGCTGTATAGAGTTAAGTGTTGTCAATTTTAAGTCCAATTTTTCAGTTTTCCTTATATGGATTAAGTTTGTGGTATCATAGCTAAGAACCCTTTACTGAATCAAAAAATATTCATCCTATGTTTCTCCAATAATAAAAATATTTTTGTTAGATAACCATGAAAAATACAAATAGTTCTGAAATCAACGTATTTCCCATTTGATCACATGAGGTCAGTATTAATCCTTTTAAAATGTTTTAGAGGCCAGGGAGATAGCTCAGTAGAGTAAGTGCTTCCCTGGCAAGCGCAAGGGCCTGAGTTCAATCCTTGGTTCTACCAAAAAAAAATTTAAAAATTAAAAAAAAGTTTTAAATTATATCTTTCTTTCTTTTTCTATTTCTTTTCTTTTTGGTGTAGTTCCAGATTTAGTCTGTATTTTTTGCATCCTGTTTATTTTTCAAGGAGCAAGCAGCACTGAGCAGGTTAGGCACAATGGTATATGCCTATAATCCCAGCCTCTCAGGAGAGGATCACTCCAGACTGAGAGTTCTAGACTGACCCTGGTAACACATTAACTCCCTTCAAGAACTCATCTATGACCCCAGCACAAGGTGAGACTGCAGGAGGAGGATCATAAGTTAAGAGCCAGATTAAGAAGGGGACCCTGTCTAAATATAGGAGACAGAAATCAGGGAGACACTGACACTTAGGCACTGAAGTTTCAACATGGTCACAAAATAAAATTGTACAAAGGAAACTTAAGCTATAATCTGCACCACTTGAACCTTCAGCTCTAACCAATGTGAGGCTTTCATTGTAATTCCCAGGTTTTGTTTCAATTAAGAATTCACACGCAACTTTCTCAGGAAAGAAAATAATCTGAAAGGAGGAAAATCTCAAAAAGGGAAAATTTCACTCCAGAAATAAAACAGTACCTCTTCATCCAATTCTTTCATTATCTTGTCTAGTTTTATGTTTGAAGTTCTGTAAAACAAAAACAATATAAATTACAAATGATTATTTCTTGCCCAGAACTGAACACCTACATTCTTTACTTTTTAATTTAACTAGGTTTTACTAAAATCATTTTTATGCCATGGATCTCTCTGCACCATGTGACAACGTGGGAAAAATTTTGAGATCAACTGAAAGTGTACTATTGCCTTTGCAATTTTTTTCTTTGACTTAGTACATCAGTCTCAATTTCTTTTTTTTTTTTCAATTTCAAATCTATGCTGTTTATGTAATATGTTCATGTGAATATCTCAATCAAGTACCTCGTTCTTTGTGTCCAAAAGATCTGTTCCCCTATTAAGTGAAATAAATCAGGCATAAAAGCTTAAGTATCACAGTTTCTCTTATTTGAAAAATCCAAATAATTTAAAGAGCAAGATTAAAAGACATATCAGCTCTACTAATATTTAGACAAGATATCATGTATCTTGTTCTCTGAATAACTACTATGAAGACAACAATATGCAATGTATTAATTATTGTAACTGTCCTACTAACCTGTTTTGAAACTGTTTCATTGCTGTTTTATCTTTTTTTCTCATTAAAATGAATAACAATAAAAAGATATAACAGGAAATAGGGAGATAAATTTTTTATAAATGGAAAGGGGACCAAAAAATGGAGTGAGAGAAATGGGAGGAGGGGAAATAAAAAGAATTAAGAGGTTATTATTTACATGTACCAGTGCCCCATGATGAATGTGCTCATTTATGTACTACAAATATGCACTAGTAAAAATTAATTACAAAAATCAAGATCAATTCATAAAAACAGAACAAAACAAAAACCAAACAAACAAAAAATCAGATCCCGCTGACTTTCCCAACCTCACTTCAGGCTTTTCTTTCCTTCCGATATTAATGCCTATCAAGTTCTCTTACATCAAGTTCTCCACGGAGCTGTATTCCCTAACCCTAATATCTCATACTCTTCCCCTTCTACTTTCCACTGACCCTCTGCTTCTAGTGTTACCTAATCTCCAACAAAGTGGTACGAGCATCTTCTGATGTACAGTATTCTGGATATACTCCTGTTTCATTTCATTTTCTCTCTATCTTACCAGATATCACACTATAAGCTCCATGTACATAGGGACAATGGCTTGTCTAGTACTATACTAATGGCAGGCACGTTCTCTAACACTGGAATTTTTTTTTTTTTTTTTTCAGAACAGGGGATTGAACGCAGGTCCTTGCGCCTACTGAGCCATCTCCCTGGCCCCTTCAAATTTTTGTTTAATGAACAAATGAATGTAAACTGATCTGAATGCAGAGAATTAGACTTGAATAGATCCTGACTTAATCTGTATGTGGTAGTAGTGGTGAATTTCTAGACAAATTATTTCTAGCCTACTCTCATAAATTCTCTTCACAAATTCTTCCAGTTCCTTTGTGAGGAAGAGACTAAAAGTAGGACAGAAAAAGACAAGCTTCAAACAGAGCTAAGTTTTTTTGTGGAATAAAGGGTCCAAAGCTCTAGTGGCTTTACTTGAGCTTCATTTTCTTTCCCTTTTCTTTTTGCCCCCCTCTAGCTTTTGGGCTCCTTCTCATTTGCAAAAGGGACATCCCTGTTGCATGCCTTTTATTTTGCTCTTTAAATTATTTATACTTTGTGTTTTTCATATAAAGGAAATCATGTAATAATACTTAGGCTTGCATGTCTGATTTAATTCACTTAACAGGGGAACAGGTTTCTTATGGACCTGAAGAATGAGATAGATTAGTATTGGACATTTCAGAAAAGACATATTAAATGTTTAAAACTCTTTCAAAAGAAAACAAATACAAGTAATAATCAGTCTAAAATTCACTACAAAGTTATCTATTTAAAATGCTATTCACCAATTCAATATATAATTTTAAAAGAGTTCATCTCATTTTAATTCCCTTTCTTATACATCTTCATATGATTATCAGTTTTTTCGGCCATTCTTTTTTCTTTCTCAAATTGATCCCCTTTATTACCACTACCATCAGTCATTCATGAAAATTTTGTTTGGATGTAGAAGCTTCTCAACATTTAAATAAAGAATCTACCCATTACCTCCTTTCAGTCAGCTAAGGAAATCAGGGAATTAAATGAATTGGAAGCATAAAGAGCATATTTAAGAGTAAAGACTACCAACAAGAATGTATTTTAAATATTTTCAGGAAAATACATCTATAACTAATGCCAATGTAAACATAACTTTTTTTTCTTTTGTATTTTAGGGAAGGGCCTACAGGGTGTTCAGGGTCTCACTACTAGATCAGATTTGTAGTGATCCACCTGTTTATAGCCTTCTAAGAGCTGGGATTACAGGCACATGCCACCATACCCAGTCTCAATTGCCGTCTCAGCATGCTCTGGGGGTGGGGCTGGCATGGCAAACTCGGGATCGAACCCTCGGCCCCTGTACCTGCTTGCAGGTGCTTTAATCCACTGAGCTATTTGGCCGGTCCTCTTAACTTTTTAATTTTAGCCAAAATGCTTTTCATGAATGTATGCTAATGGCAAGGTTTATATTCCCATATTACATCTGTTGACTTTCAAATGTTTACAGAATGTAAGCTTTACAATTATTAACCATATATAACTTATAAAAGTGAATTTGCACCTGCACTTCTGTTCCATTTCATCTTTCAATTGCATTTCATTATGCAGCTGTTCTTCCAGCTTGTAGATTGTTTTTTGCAAACTTTCCTGCTTTAATTGGAAAACAAAAACCTTCACACATACATTCAAAATATTCATACATTTAAAATAACAAGACTACCTTATCATTTTACACCTGTTTAGAAAATAACCCTTTTTCCTATTAATTTAACAAGTAACATTTACTACTATCTCAGACACCATGTTAGGTTATCAGTAACACAATCAAAACAATCAGTTTCATCCTTGTTCTCATGAAGATAATAGTTAAATTCTGGGACACTAAAAATTAAGAGGTGGAGCCAGGGATATAACTCAGTGGCATAAGTGCCTACTGACAAGCTCAAGGTCCCAAGTTCAAGTCCCAGTAACAAACAGACCAACAAAGTGATTTATAATACCAATATATGTATCAAACATTACAATGTATCCCACTGACATGTATACTTTTTTTTGTGGTACTGAGAATTGAGCCTATAACTTTTGCACTGAGTTATATCCTAGACCTTTTCATTTAATTTTTTTAAACTTTGAAATAGGTGTTTGGTTTTATTTTAAATTTTAAGTTGCTAGGCTATCAAGACTGGGCTCGAGTTTGAGATCCTCTTGCCTTAAGAAGCTTCAGCAATTCAAAAATATCTGTTCAAAATTTAACATATGGTAAGGGTATAAAATATATGCAGTATGTTCTGAAGATGAGAAGTGGTCAATTTTAATTCTGCCAGGAGTATGTAATGCTCAAAGATCTAAAAAGAGAGAGAAATTTACCAACCAGAGGTAGTCAAAAGATGGCATTTTTACTAGAATAAAGAGTCCAGTATAGAGAGGCAGAAGAAAATATATTTGGAGTGGAGAAAGAAGGGATAGCAGATTATAGAATATCATTAGAAGAAATCAAACCTTACGAATCTCACCTGAAAAGGTGACCATTACATTAATACACAAAAATCAAAAGCTTGAGATGTTAACCTATAAGAAATATGTGACTGTACTGTTTCTCTGTTGAGAAACTAGAAGTACAAATAAGGACCAAAATGTATAATAAGTATTGTGAAACAGAAAAAAAATGTTTGAATGGGGATGGGAACAAAGAAGGGAGGAGGGGGAAGGAAAGGGAAAAAGTAAAAAAAGAGAAAGTGAATATGAAAAAGATGGCCTGTAATTCAAGCACTAAAAAGGCTGAGGCAGGACTGTTCCAAGTTCGAGACATTCCTGGACTACAAAGTGATTTCAGGACCAGTCTGAGCTACAAAAGCAAGACCCTAGCACAAAGACCAATATAACAGAAGGAAAAAATGAAAGAAAGAAAAAAAAAAACCCAAACTTTTGTAAATGGGGATGAGGGGGTTAAAAAGGAGAGTAGGGGAATGGAAAAAAATGAAGTTATATCATGTACAGGTACAAATTCTTTACGATGAATGTGATCATTATATTTAAAATGTACCAATAAAATCTGACTTAAAAAAAAAGCAATGTGTGACTTAATACTGTCATCTCAGAAAAACTACACCAATAATAAGACAACCAGGTTAGAGGACAGTGAACTCTGGAAGAGCAACCAGTTCACAGGCTACTGAAATGGTGCAGGTAAGAGAATATGAATCTCTTATACAGTACAGGCTATCAACATGAAGAGAAGGAAATGGATGATTGACAATCGGAAGACAGAATTCATTAGACCACAAAGTAAAGATATAGTTCCATTATGAAGGACAAGAAACAAATTACTGCTGGGAGAGTATGGAAAATGAAAACATGCATTTAGCTTTGGCCTAATTTATATACCCAGGAAGAAAGAGATCCAGACAGTTGAGTTCAAAGGAACAGGTTGGATGTGCATAAAATTAGAAATAGAAATGAACAGAGATGAGACACAACTTTGGGAAACACTTAATAATTTAGTGACTAGAGGAAGAAGACTGTAAAAAAGAGGACTAAAAATAAATTTTAAAGAAGCAAAAAGAAAATAATGGGAACACAAAAGAATTATAAAAGTTTGTCCCAAAAAAATAGTGTGAAATGTAGCAAAGAAGAAAATAAGGACTAGTTAGTGTCAAATACTAGAAGGAAAAAGGTGAAAACTATTCAGTCTATTTTGAATTACAAAGTTGCTCATTAGCATCTTAGGTAAAAGATTTCCAAGGAAGAGTTCATTAAATTACCTCATTTTTCTGCACAGTCCTAGTTAATGCAAAATAGTGATCTTCCTTGTGTTCTTTTTTTTTTTGCTCCGAATGCCTTCAGGGCAGGTTTGGCTGGCTGGAGTTGTGGGGATCGAACTACAGCAACCTGAGGCTGACAGCTTTGTGGAATCAGCCACTTAAAGAACTGAGCTAGGGCCAGGCCCCCTTCCTTGTGTTCTTAACAGAGCAAAGGATAAAAGGTAGTAGCCACAGATGA